GTTTACTTCCCCTGGATGTTTATGTTCAAAATTGAATGTCTTAAACCAGTACTTCTTAACATTAACCTTTTTGGAATCCCCTTTAATAGAATATAGGGAATCTGTCTTTAAAAAAATACTTGCATGCACATAGGCAAAACATTTCAAGTATAAAATTGGTATTGGCTCCTTTCCACGCAACCCAGGTGAAGAACTTTTCTTTTTCTCTTTGTACGTTCTTGATCTAATCCTTGTTGTTTTCAAATAAAAAGAACCCATGTGAATGTTTACTTTTAAATCCTAATCCTAGGAAGGGATCCTTGGTTTACAGTGTTTAATGTTAGAAATAACTCTAGTGCCATTTGCAAACATGAGTTTAACTGAAACAGTAATAATAAATGAGAGCCTTTTAAATATTACACTGGAGACAGGAGACACATGCCTTTTAAATACAGCTGACCCTTGAACGGCATGATGTTTAAACTGTGTGGTAGGGGGTGGGAAGAGTGTGCCTGGGTGGCTCAGTCAGTTATGTGTCTGACTCCTGATTTGGCTCAGATCATGATCCCAGGGTCGTGAGATTGAGCCCCGCCTCAGGCTCTGTGCTGGGTGTGGAGCCTGCTTAAGATTCTTTCTCTCCCTCTCTTTATGCCTCTTCCCCACTCACGCTCGCTTTCTCAAAAATAAAAATAAACTGTGCGGGTCCACTTATATGTGACTTTTAAAAAGAAATCCAATATAGTTCTGTAAATGTAGTTTCCTTATGATTTTAATAGCATTTTTTCTCTAGCTTAGTTTTTTTTTTTATGTTTATTTAGAGAGAGAGTGGGGCAAAGGCAGAGAGAGAATCCCAAGCAGGTTCTGCACTGCCAGCATAGAGCCCAACATGGGGCTCGATCTCATGAACCGTGAGATCATGACCTGAGCAGAGATCAAGAATCAGATGCTACAGTGTGGAGGTTCCTCAAAAAATTAAAAATAGAACTACCCTAAGACCCAGCAATAATTCTAGGAATTTACCCAAGGGATACCGGAGTGCTAATGCATAGGGGCACATGTACCCCAATGTTTATAGCAGCACTTTCAACAATAGCCAAATTATGGAAAGAGCCTAAATGTCCATCAACTGATGAATGGGTAAAGAAGATGTGGTTTATATCTATGACGGAATAGTACTTGGCGATGAGAAAGAATGAAATCCTGCCATTTGCAGCAATGTGGATGGAACTGGAAGGTATTACGCTGAGTGAAATAAGTCAGAGAAGGACAGATATCATATGTTTTCATTCATATGTGGATCTTGAGAAACTTAGAAGACCATGGGGGAGGGGAAGGGGAAAAATAGTTGGAGGGAGGCAAACCACAAGGGACTCTTAAATACAGAGAACAATCTGAGAGTGGACGACGGGGGTGGGGGAGAGGGAAAATGGGTGATGGGCATTGAGGAGGGCACTTGTTGGGATGAGCACTGGATGTTGTATGGAAGCCAATTGGACAATAAATTATGTTAAAAAAAAAAATCAGACGCTTAACTGACTGGGCCACCCAGGCGCCCCTGTTAGTTTATTGTAAGAATACGCTATATTATCCAAGTAACATCTATAATATGCGTTCATTATAAGGTTTCCAGTCAGCGGCAGGCTCTTAGTTTAAGTTTTTGGGGAGTCAAAAGTTAACATGCAGAGTTTTGATTGTGCCAGGAGTTGGTGCCCCTCACCTCTGTGTTGTTCAAGGATAGGCTGTACTACACTGGAGAAACTTTCCTTGGTAAAGTCTGATTACTGCTCCTTTTCTTTCCAGAGGCAGTAGTGGGAAGATTGTGGGAAAGATGGGGTAGCACCATCACATACATCATCATGTTACTTGTTGACGCTGGGTTGGCTAAATGGAAAAAGATTTTAATTTTAATAATTTTATGGGTTTTTTTCCCAGCTAAAGTCTGCGAAAGTTTCATACCGATGGTATTCTTTTTAAGAAAGTTTTAATGCTACAATTTTAACAGAGGTTTTTTAGATGTTAGGAAGAATTTAACACGTTATTAGAGATTTCTGCTAAAAAGAATCTGGAATATGTGGAAATCTTTAAAGTGAATATCATGCAGTGAACTCAGAGATGGTGATGGCAAAGTTAGGGCTTGCTTTGATACAAAAAGTTCTTATATATAGTGTGTAAGAACTCAGTTTAGGAAAATATATGGATACTTGTTGGGCTCTCTTAGTGTAAAACCTAATTTATCAGATAATCCAGTTCCCATTAGTGGAGTTACACTCTGCAAAGGAGAGGAATTCATCTCCTGATCAGTGTAGAGATGATGTCATAATTCTGGGATCATCTTTAAAGACTATGCACTGTAGGGGCGCCTGGGTGGCTCAGTCGGTTAAGCGTCCGACTTCAGGTCATGATCTTACGGTTTGTGAGTTCGAGCCCTGCATTTGGCTCTGTGCTGACAGCGCAGTGCCTGGAGCCTGCTTCACATTCTGTGTCTCCCTCTCTCTTGGCCTCTCCCCTGCTCATGTTCTCTCTTTCAAAAATTACCATAAAAAAAAAATTTAAAGACTGTGCATTCTGTAATGTATGCAAGATCTTTGTGTAGTGAAACATTCTTTAGTAATGCCGTCATTATCATTAAAGTGAGGGGGAAAGTTAATACTTTATATCAAGAAGCACCTATCTGTATTGGTATTACAGCATTTAATCATTTTAGAATCTGCACAAAATGCAACAGGGCATTAGAGATGTACTTTAAGGTGGTATAATTACTGCATATCAGAATAATTTTCAAAGGTTTATGTACCTAATGAGAGAAGCATTTGGTGATTGCTGTGTGGTTTCTCTGTGCTGTGTATGTCACAGAGCAGTTAGAAGCATAGACTTTGGAGCCAGACTGTGATTTGAAGCCTGCCAGCAGCTTACTTAACCTCTCTGTGCTTCATTTTCTCAGGCATAAAATGGCCTAATGATACAGAGCTTCTAGATTGAGGACTGACTTTTGTGTAAAGCACTTTATATATTAGGAAACAGTAACTACTGTGAACACTAGCTAATATGATTACTCATAGGCAGAAATGCACTTGGCATATAGTTGTTAGCTTTACTATTACTCTCTTAGGTGGAAAAGTTGGAAGATAAACAGTATGTGACTCTGAGTGGGTCTCATAAAAATTATGCCTGTTTACATGGCCCAGCTAAGTGCAGACAATGGGAGAGAAGTCCTGCACTTCCCCAAACAGTCTGACAGCTAAACAACCAGAGGCAGTGCTGGGAAATGAAAACCGGTGAGAATAACTGGCTAATAAAGGGTCCCATTTTCTCCCCTCCCACCTTTCATTTACATGGCTCTTGATAATTTTTCATAGTGCTTTCATTTGGGGAATTTAAATGGCAACCTTCTAAAGTTTAACATTATTTTAAAATCTATGACCCATGCACAAGAGTACATGATATGTGTGTACTGAATCAAGAATAAAACAGGACATTTGGGTAGCCACTGTACCGTGGAGGTCAAGAGCCTGTTGCTCCTGCCTGAGATGTTCCATTGTTCTTCCTCGGATCGCCGCTCCCTTTTCCACTCCGGAGGAAACCACAACGCAGAATTTTGGGGTAACTATGCCTTGCTTTTCTCTAGTGTTACAACCTATCTGTAGTTTTCTAAATAACACGGTGGTGGTTTGCAGGTTTTTAAAAAATTAATATAAATGGATTCTTACCGTATATGACTTGTCTCTTTTGAAATTCATCCATGATGATACACATACCTGTTGTCCATTTAGTTTTCCTTCTTTAGTATTGTTACACAAATACACAGATCTGTTTTGCTGATGACATGTGGGTCACTTCCAAATTTGGGATAGTATGAACAGGGCTACTGGCTGCACGCACCTCTGTGTACCTGTGTTCAGAGTTTCTCCAGAGTTCTACTCGCAAGTGAATCTGCTAGGCCATCTACAAGTGCAACGGATACAACGCCAGACTTGTCCCGTCCCAGCAGCGGAGGAGCCTCGTCGTGCCCATCCCAGCAGCTATGTTTCTAGAGTCTGGTGTGTATATAATATCCCAGTGGGTTTAGTTTGTATTTATTATATCAATTTTGTATATTTCTATTTAAGAACCCCTTTTATTTTTTATTCTGTGAAATGCCTTTATGACTTTATTTGCAGTTTTTTCTAATTGCAGGAATATTTTACATATTCTGGATACTAATATTTTGTGGGTCATCTGTGCCTAATATGTGCAGTTCATTTTGTGTTTTCATTCTGTGGTTTTTTCAATGAAGTTAGTTTTAATGGGCTTCAGTCTTTTTTTCCTATGATTTGCATACTTTGTGGCTTAGGCCGCATATTTTTGAAATATGAAAAAATTAGGAAATGAAAGAAATCGATTTTAGTTTCCAACAATATTGTGTACGACTAGTTTCTTCCCTCCCACCCTGAACAATTCGAAGAAAAGGAAATTCAGGGGACTGTGGCTCTTGCAGCCTATCGGAGGACTTACCAGTTTAATACAGTTATGATACACAAATTTTTGTAAGGCATTCGCTAACACCATACTAATAATTTCATGGTATATCTCATGCTGGCTTAGTCCCTGAGGCTCACATTATAGAAGTGGACTCTGATACCCCTGTAACATTAAGTTTGGATTACAAAAGTTTTATTAATCCACCATCTTGGGAGCTGTGGTGGCTCAGTCAGTTGAGCATCCCACCTCTTGATTTCGGCTTAGGTCATTGTCTCATGGTCATGAGATTGAGCCACACTGAGTGCAGGGCCTGCTTAGGATTCTCTCTTTCTCCCCCCCTCCTTCCCCATGCTCTCTCCCTCAAAAAACAAAAAACAAAAAAAACCTTGGTACTGAGATTACATTGTTCAACCAGTGTTGAATAGAGGTATTTGATAGGGCATAATGAAATCACAGCAGAGGGGGGGAATGTACTGAGGTTTTGGAAATGAACAGCTGAAGCCACAGAACTAACTTTAGTTTTCTTCCAGGGATGTTCTAGAAAATAACCACAACAAGCAAAAGAAAGAAACAGAATGGTAGTTTTTATTTGCTAGCATTTGTTGCTAGGTTAATTTATTACAAAGACAACGGTATTCTGTTGAAATTGGTTATAATTAAACACATGGTGCCAATTCAGGATCATCATACTTCATAGGTAGGGGTGGAATAGGATTTTTATACCAAGCCCCGCAACCAGCCGTGCTTTCATTCAAGTGAGTTTTAAAATTAATTGGTCCCTTCCTTGAGGAGGGTCTGGCTCAGAAGAATCAGGAACTGGTAGAGCTTCACACGGTCTGTAGTGATCCACCACTAAAACCATGCCTGAAGGACCGTAAACTTCTGAATGCTGGTTCATCAAGGTTCCCATGTAAAACTGAACGTCTTGTGTGGTGCTGGTCTGCTAGTCTTTTTATTGCATGATGTCTGAGAAAAATGATCACAACTAGACCTGCATTTTTGCTAACGCTCAGGCCCTCTAAGCGGGGCTCGCCACCTAACTGCACAAACTGATGCTGGTAGGTCCGACTGTGAGACAAGCCTGATTATAAATACACAACTTTCGGAATGACAGGCACTTAAAGCTCATTAAGGAAAATATAAAAATAGATTATATTAATAGGAAATATTTAGTGTTTATCAAATTATAAATCTAGGCTTTTATCGTTTTTTAAAAAGGGTACTTGGAGACTAAAGAGATGACATTTGAATAAAGTGAACAATGCATTTTTTCAGGAACTTTCATTGTGAGCGCTGAACAGTACAATCTAAGAAGACGACTTACCACAAAGCACCTAAAGTAACATTTGTAGATGGGTAGGAATGTTGTCAACCATTTCTCACTGTTTCCCTCCCAAGTCTCAGTATCAAGGCATCAAGAGTACATTCCACAAGTGATTGTCAGCGTTCTGAAACCAGGTCGTGGGCCTGTATGTCAGAGAAGTTGAAAACCCTTAAGGAGGTAGCTCTCCTTCCTGGGTGCTCTTTCCCCAAAGGCCCAAGAGAGTTATGCTTCAGATTCTGCGCCTCTGTTTTCATTTGGACTTCCATCATTGTCATCTGGTTGATCGTTTAACAGTACATATTTTCCATCATTGGTTAGTGGTATGGACAGCATTAATTGAGCCAATGCTTCTGGATCCTGAAGTTATGAGAGTTTAAGGAGGAGAAAAGAAAATGCTTAAAATGCACTTAAAACCCCTATGGCGTGGCTTTCAGTATTCTGTAATCTAGCTTCTTTCCTTCCGGGATCTATGTGTGCCTTCAGGTGAGTCTCCTTGCTTCTCTGAAAAAGCTCAATTGCATTTTACTTCTAGACTCTAGGCCAAGGTTTTGCTCTTAGCCAAAATGTCATTCACTTAGCCAAATCATAATCGTCTTCCCACAAAGAGTCCAGAGAAGAACTTCCTTTATAATACCTTTGTCTTCTAGATCACTAACTCCTTCCTCTTTCCCTGTAAACCAAGAGTTGGCAAACCACGGCCATCTGGCTCACTGTTTTTATAAATGAAGTTTCACTGGAACACAGCCATTCATTTATATACTATGTATGGCTGCTGGAACAATAGCTGAGTTGAGTAGTTGCAACAAATGTAAGCCTAAGAGGTTTCCTGTCTTGCTCTTTACAGAAGTTGATCCCTGATCAATACCATAAAATACTAACTTGCACTGCTTGCTACCATTTATACTATACTACTATACTACTATACTATACTATACTATACTATACTATACTATACTATACTATACTATACTATACTATACTATACTGGTCTTATTCCTCCTGCCCTCCCCCAACATTAGGAAAGCTAATACGGTGCTCAGTAGCTATATGTTACTGTTTAAAAATCCAGTTCATCATCAAATTAGCTACATTCAAGCTGCCTATTGAACAGTACAGACACAGGTCATTTCCATTACTGCAGAAGTTCTACTGAACGAGAAGCCTCCTGGGGCAGGAACTGTATCTGTCTTGCTCACTGGTAGAATTCTAAGATTTTTCTTGTACAAACTTGGCTCTCAGAAGTTTGTGGGGTGAGTGAAAGATTGTAAGCTGCTGAAATACAGGGAGGTCTGGGAATCTTCACGTCTAGTACATTTCCAGGTTGATGTCTGTCTGTGACCGCTCAGAGGAGCAAGGCCTTCGAGTACATGGTAGATAAAGTTTCTACCATCTTAATTTGAAAGACAGGATATCTAGCCAACAACAGCAAGCAAAAAAGTGATAACGCAGGAAGCAGTGATATTTATGAGGAACTCCACATGTGTTAATCGGTGACTGTGGCCCTAGCCAGTCTGGTTGTTAGAACGCTTCAAAGGAAATCTCAAGTTCGGCCACAATGTCCAGCGAACACCATTCCTCTTTTTGAGAGAGATCTTAGTATGTCTATAGATCTTTTGAGTAGTTGTGAAAACCAGCACTAAAATGTACCTTACCTTCTGAACCGCAATGATTTCTTTTCCCAAATTAATAGCATAACATATCTGTAAGACAAGAAAAGCAGTGTTGGGCAAAGGCAGAAAGCGATAAGGGATTTTAGGAAAAAATGTGGTTATGGAAGTACAACGAGGTCACTGCTCATGTCGGTGTGGGGACGGAGGACCTGGCTGCTAAGAAGTTCATCACACGGGGCTCTGAACAGTAGAGTCCACCTGTCCTGGTCTCCGGTTGCCAATCTGTGCAGAGCAACGATATCCAGGGTAAGTGGCAACTGAAATTATCCCAGTGCTTAACATTCTTAACAGAATACTTTCCTCCTTTCTCTCTCCATCACATTCTGCCACTGCGTGTTCGCAGGCAGTGGCAAAAAGATACTTGCTGAAAGAAGAGTTGATTAACTTTAATTCCAAGTAGCAAATACGGTCACAAAAATTTTCATACTATATGAGAACAGTTTCCTGCTGTCTGCTTCCTTCGTTTGCTCTGAGACTAGATTTTATCCATCGTAACTTCTTTCATTTCTAAAAAAGAAACTTGAAGGCAATTGCTTTTCACATTTCATCTCACCATTAACATTCTTCCTCATCACTGTTTAGAATGACACGCATTTCCAAGAGAAAATTTATTCCAGTTGTTTCTTTCAGTGGGGCCTTCCTAGAGGTATTCTCTAAACTCCGCAATGGGGGCGCAAAGAACAGTCAACTAAACGCCCACGGGGTGGTGCAAAACCCCTTTAAATATCTTTGGACAGAGATATGGAACCTTAAGATGAAAAAAAACAGACCTTTTCGCCTTCTGAGTTGCTTTCAAAAACATATGTACTCAGAGACTGTCCACCTGTGGATTCGGGCGTGCGGACCACAAAGCCGACTAGTCTCTTGTTTTCTTGATGGGCAGCAAACTGGGTGATGCTGGTGAGCTCAAACTAGAAATAGCAGGAATAGACAACATCACATAACTGGAATTAAAAACAGACAAGTCATTCTCCACGGACAGCGTCCCGAAAAAAGTGCACTATGAGTGACAGCTGTTAAATTTGGCAAAATCTATAAAGTGCCTGCTTTGAATTAAGGAATAACTACTAAAATTAGCGTGCATGGAGGTACTTACATTGGCCCTTGTTACTTGAGTCTGAGGATCTATCAACCTGCAATTTTAAGACACGCATTATATTACACATGTTGGAGAAACCTGTATTCTTAGAAGAGTCTAGAAGTTCAGAATGAAATCACACAAATACCCTTCTAAGGCCCGGCCACAGCAAGGCGAGATGGCTCCATGGGACTGTCCAAAGGGAGCATGCGCCATGGGTCTGCCTGTGCTGAGCCCCATGTAGTTGAAGCTCCGGGAACAGCTTTATGGAAGATTGTAACAACTGGAGACTCTCACATTTCAGTGCTTATCCAAAGGGGCAGCATTAGAATTCTTCACAGTTCTGATATAGAATATAGATAGATCGTATTCTGTACAGCCTGCTTCTCAGAAGACATTTACTGACTATGGTCTTTTCCTTGAAGTCTAATTTTTTTCCCCTAAATATGGGTGGGGTGAGAACACAGTGAACAGATTGTAGCAAAACTATTCTGTGTCAGTTTGGGTGTGGGGGAGCACGGTCTTTTAAGAAGGTATATTCTAGGGGTGCCTGGGTGGCTCAGTTGGTTGTCAGGCTCTTCAACACTAGCTCAGGTCATGATGCCAGAGTCATGGGATTGAACCCCGCACTGGGCTCCGAGCTGGGCCTGGAGCCTGCCTGAGATGCTCTCTCCCTCTCTCTGCCCCTCCCCACTCACACGCCTGCTTGCTCTCTCAAAAAGCAAAACAAAACAAGACAAAAAAGGAAAACTTCTGTCCTATTTATAGAAGGAATAGCACATATTCTTTCTCCCCTTCCCCTCTCTCCTGCTCATGCTCAAAAATAAAAAAGATTTTAATTAAAAAAGAAGGTATTCTAGATGTATTCTTTAACAAAACTTTAAGCATCATCTAATAACCAGGCTGATGTATCTGGAAAATACACTGCATTAGAGAATCTATTGCTATCATACATACATATAAATTTCTACTTTCTAAACATGGTATTATTTATTGATTTGCTATAAATTCTGTGGGCGAAAGCAAAAAATCTATTCTCGGTCTTAAAAAAATGGTTAGAATTCCATTTATATGAAATGTCCCAAACAGGCAAATACATACACACAGAATATTAGTGTTTCGTGGCTGCATGGGGGGCGGGGGTTAAGAAAAGGGAATGAGGGTTCACGGGTGTGGGTTTTCTCTGGGGGTGATGAAAATACTCGAAAACTGTGGTAACTAATGGTTGCACAACTCTGAATATACTGAAAACACTTCAGACGGGCGAGCTGTATGGGAAGTTAGATCTCAGGAAAGCGGTCATCCCCCCAGAAAGGCTGCGGTTGGAAATATGTGCGGTTCAAGTATGGGCCTCACCGCAGTCAGAGGGCTCTGGGCTGGCTGCTCGACTGTGCCCTTGTGTAAGTCACCCTGACTCTTCCAGACTCGTCTGTAAAAGTGGGAAAAGGACCCCACTTCAAAGAGGTGGTTAAGACAGTAAGAAAATGTGGATGGAATTTTACACATTTACAAGCTAAACCCATGTTTTCTTCATGTCCCTATTAATTTGTATGAATTTAAAGATTTAAAAAATATACCTCATAAACGGTCTCCCTCAAGTAAAGTTTCTTAGGTATTTTGTAAAACTTTTCCATAAATGTGAACTTAAAACATGCATATTTTGTGAGTAACTTAAAAGGTTGCTATCTTAAACAGGTAATACAGATTCGCGTAAGATCTGATTTTCAGAGCACCTGGGTGGCTCAGTCAAGCGTCCAACTTCAGCTCAGGTCATGATCTCATGGTTCATGAGATCGAGCCCTGCACGGGGCTCTGTGCTGACATCTCAGAGACGGGAGGCTGTTTTGGATTCTGTGATTCCCTCTCTGCCGCTCTCTCCCTCCCTCTCTCTCTCTCAAAAATAAACATTAAAAAAAAGATCTGATTTTCTGTGGGACTTCTCATTTGTCTCAAAACATGAATTCCAATGCAGGGATCTGTGTGTGGAAACTGTGGTGAAATATACCTAACATAAAATGGACTATTGCAGACTAATGGGCTAATATTTAGTACATTTACCACACTGTACAACCATTACCACTGCCTGGTTCCAAACATCTTCATCACCTCCAAAGGAAGCTACACACCCATCAGACCGTCACTTCCATTCTTTCTCCTCCCAGCTTCTGGCAACCACTAACCTGCTTTCCATCCTGGACACTTCAGATACAGGATCAAACAAAATGGCTGACATCTTCCACCGAGCATGTTTTCAGGGCTCAACAACGTCGTACCACACATCAGGACGTCCTTTCTCTTTAAGGCTGGCTCCTACTCTGCTGTGTTAAATACCCCATCTTGTCTATCAATTCGTTGATGGAGTTGGGATCGTTTCCACTCTGTGGCTACCGTGAACCACGAACATTTGTGTAAACTTGGTTATCTGAACAGTTTTCAATTCCTCCGGGTGTCTACCAGGGCTGGCAATCTACGTTCAACTCCCAGAGAAGCTGCCGAACCATTTCCCACAGTGGCTGAACGGTTTTAACTATTCCCACCGGCAACGGATTCCAATTTTTCCTCACCCTAACACTTGGTATTTTCCTTTTTATTACAGCCATCTAAGTGAGCTGAAGCGGTATCTCACTGTGGACTTGATGTGCATTTCTCTAATAACGAGTGACACTGGGCATCTTTTCACATGTGCTTGTTGGCCATTTGTAGATCTCCCCTGGAGAAATGTCTACTCAGGTCCTTGGTCCATTTTTTTGGTTTTTGGTCTTTCTGTTGATTCTTATAAGAGTTCTTTATATATTCTGAACATATAGCTTTATTAGATACATGATTTGCAAATATTTTCTCCCGTTCTGTGGGCTTTGTACTTTGATAGTGTTCATTTGATGTACTGTCATTTTTCACAATGCTTTTACGTATACTTACTCTGTTCTTACTGGTGGAGATTACAGGAACGATGAGCCAATGCCTATAAAAGGTGCAGGGCATGCTTGGAGAAAAGCTTTAAATAAAGTTTTATTCATAAGAAACTCACTCTCAGTAGAAGGTTTATAATGAAACGAAAAAGACTGGTTTTAATGAATGGAAGAAACTATATTCTGACTTTAACAAAGCCCAATTTAACTTTTTGAAGCTAACGTTTACTGAGCACTTACGCCAGTTGTGGTTGTATACATGTTTGATGTGCATTAACATGTAGTCTTTGTGTCAGCCCTACGCAGTGTGGATACAGTTATTTTCATCTCATAGCCCAAGAAGCTGATGCACAGAGGTTAAACTCGCCCAGGTCATGTAACTAATGAAGGCCAAAGCCAGGGATAAACGTAGACATTCTGCCTCTAAAGCAGTGCCTGTGATCTCACAGGAATAAAATGTAAACCTCATATACATGATCTAAAATTTTCTAGCAGTCACATCAAAAAGAGTGAAATAGATTAAATAAAGTATATCAAGCTAATGTCACCTAACAGATCTAAAATACTACCAGGATATGTTATTAATATAAAAATTAATGGCATATTTTGCATTCTTTTTGGGGGGTTAGTATGAGACCCTAGAAGCTTGCTATATGTATTTTACACTTAGAACATTTTAACTCAGACTGTCATTCCGTTTCAAGTGCTACATGTGAGTCCAGTATTGGATGGTGAAACTTCATAAAGCCTGTGCTAACCATGGCTTGACGGTCCTCTGCCGTCACTCATACAGATCTTACTACCTAAAACTCCAAATCACGTAGTTAACATCACTTGGCTTATTTTCATCCCAACAAATATTAATCAGATTTTACTTGTGGTGGTCTAATGATCTCAGGTAGGTTCATGTTCTTTTTTCACTGTTGTTAATTTTTATAAGTAGTACTGCATTCAGAAATGAAAATCCCGGGGCACCTGGGTGGCTCAGTCACTTAAACGTCCGACTCCTGATTTCGGCTCAGGTCGTGATCTCACGGTTGTGGGACTGAGCCCCACATCAGGCTCCATGTTGACAGTGCAGAGCCTGCTTGGGATTCTCTGTCTCGCTCGCTCTCTGCTCCTCCCCCGCTCGTGCGCTCTCACAAAGTAAACAAACATTTAAAAAAGAAAAAAAAACCCTTTCTTTTTCAAGCTCTGAGATATACTGAGCAATTCTTCAGTGATGGCATCATCACGAACGAGAGGACTCATTCACCACTAAGTCTCTGAGGGTACCCACTCCTTAGGGGAACAGCTTCTATCCACCGTACCTTGTAAAAGCAGAACATACAAAGGAACAGGGCGAAGACAAGAGTAGCACCTTCACTTAACCTGATCAAATACTCTAGTATGAACATTCTAAGTGCGTAAATGAGCCTTAAATGGGGAATCAGGTAAAGCTGTAAGGGTCTGAAACGAAACATACCTCAGAGTCTGACTGGTGACCATCAGATGGGACTCTGTCGTACGGAAGATGTTGTGAATTGCCCGAGCGGCCAATACTTGTCTCATTGCTTCGTAAATCACTTCAGTAGTGTTGTCTGTTTTGACTGCCATCGAGCCCAAAAACCGAACTACAAACATCTGCTGCAAAAGGGAATCTGCAAGAGAGCGTTTTCTGCTCAGGATCACATTCGCTTCCTGCCTGCTGCCGGTCTGAGAACAGGCAGAAGACCTCAGGTCTGGTCTGCCTCCTGCGGAGGGCTTCCCGGCAAATTCCTCAAAACGGTGCCGAAGCCCTGAATCGCCTACTGTCTACATTTTGGCTCTTTGGAACGACTTCATTAGACTAGAAAAGCACCTCTTTGTGCATCCGTAAGATGAAAAGTCAGTACCACACGACCATCCTTTTAACGCTAAAACTCTAGGTGGCGGTATATACGTCTTTTCTCTGAAAATAAGAGCTTCTCCGCTAGATGACAGAAAATTCATTCCTCGGGCCCACTGATAAAGTCCTCTTGAAGAAGAAAATCCATCTGAAGAACAGAAGACCTGATTGGGGGCTCATCCAGTTCACACATATCGTGCACCACTGAAGGGCATTGACGATCTCCCAGGAGCTAATGCCACATCTCCAACTACTCTGCTTACCAGATTCTAGTAAACTGCCAGCACTGGCCCCCCGATAATGGCACATAACTGACAAGACTGGGTAACTGCAACCGCAACTGGAAGATCACAGAGGTTTAAAGGTTGTTTTTTTTTTTTTCTGTAAGAATAATTCACTTCTCCACCATTTTAAACTAAGATGGCTACTTTTTCCTTCCTCGATCTATTAGTGTCTTTGCCCCTAAAAATAACTTAAGGGTTAAAAGAGGAGAAAAATATAATTAATGTAATATTATAAGAAGTGACTCCCACACGAAGACAGTTTTTACAAGTTCGGAAGTTTTTTTTGTAGAGATTTTACGGGGTGGCCTATATGGAAGGTCAGCTAGAGACGGGGCGGCAGACCTGAGGCACAGCCTGTTAGCCTCCTTCCTTCCACCGGCGCCCTTTCTGCCCGATTCCGTACGAGGTGCCGACTCTCAAGTCCTGCTTTTAAGTCTGAGGAAGCGGCATCTCATTCTAACGCTGCTCTCAGGCTCCAGGCGTGAGGCCCTCAACTGCCTCCGCTCTGCGGAGTGCTAGGTTACGGTCAGCTCTGCCGGGTGTGCTCTTAGGTACTAGAAGAATGTAATCAAACGTCAAAAATCTGAACTTGAACAGCTTAAATACCACCGAGCCATGTCATCTTCAAACACAAGAATGAGCTGTTATGTGTGTTTTCGGCATTCTGAAATGAAACCGCATATTCATGTCTCACCCAGATTGCATTCTATTGTGAGCGCTTTATCCTCTTTGAATCTGTTTTGTAGTAATCTGGTCTCTGATTTAGGTTTGGCCACTCTGTACGCAGGAGCTATAGAAAGGGTAAGGATGGGCCAACACTGTGACACAAGTGGAGAATCTGTCCACATCCCTGCGGGTTTCATTTAAGACCTGCCTTCCCTGTACACATCCTAATGAGTTTTCAGAGAACGACAGACCCGTGGGTCATAATTTCAATTCATACCTTCAAGGCCCAGCTCTCCGCAACATGATTCCGCTCCTCGTTTCAATGGCCCTCGCCATTCTGTGAAGGGGAAAGAGCAAGCACACAGACCACCCGCTCACCTTCTGCTTCTGGAAAGGTCTCATCCTCAGTTTCACCAAAAGGGTTGATGCGCCTAGGGAAATGGCCAGAGGCACACAATCAGGACATTTCTGGCCAAGAGGGCACTCAGTCAGAATGGCAACAGTGTCTAGAGATGGGGGTGGACACAAGAGACACCCAAGGTCACTTTCACTTCTCCCCGAGGTAACCTCCCTGAGCCCGCACCTGCTCCCTCGGTTCTGGTCCAGGAATTCTGTGGCAGGAAGGACGATATCAAACTGGATAGGTGTTCCCGGTGCGATGAGCTCATCGGCGTCGTCGGCACGGACGGCTGCTTGGGACACAATCTTGTCATCTTCTGTCTCTGCATTTCTCAGGTTCTGACTGGAGTGTAAAATAGGGGGGAAATAAATCCCTTTTAACCTATGCCTTTATGATCAAAAGAACACATGCTGAGCGCTGATGTGACTTTTACAAATAGATAAGGGTGAAGATTTCAGTCAATCCTTCAACTCCTTCTACAAACAAATCTTCACAAAACGTCATTCGTGTCCTTGGTTTAACCCCTTCAGATTCCCCCACAGTGAGCTCTGCTGCCCAGCATTCTGCATTGTCATATCACTTAACACACGGTCTACTGATTTTCTGGATCTTTCTCCCTGTGAGACAGGTTTTTGAGGGCGTGGGCTACAGCTAAATCATATTTGTTGCTTGCTATAAAGGCGGCACTCAAAACCGTTAACTGAACGGATAAATACACCTTGGCCTGCATTCAATCACAACCTGGCTTTCACTTCCCGAGAGCCCCCTGCCGCTCCTGTATCGCACCCTCCACCAGAGGGAGCTACACCAACACATCACAAGCTTTTCCTTCTTTCAGTCTCCATCCCAATCCTCTTTCCCGCCGGAACAAATTCCTCTCCATCCACTAAACCCGTCAAGCCAGCCCGACCCTCTGCCCTCTGCACTCCAGCGTTTCTTCCCAGTGAGCCCCGGGACAGTCTCGTGTGTCTGTGAACACCCTGAACTCGGCACCGTGTCCGCACAAGCTGCAGGTGAGACGGTGGCCCGTGACAGGAGAGAGCTGCCAGTACGGTGACCAGTCACGTGCCACCACGTGTCTTCTCTTTCAGTGACAGGATGCTGTAAGAGCAGGTCTCATGTCTTTATAATCTTCTCTCCCCAGCTGGACTGTAAACCCCTTTGAGGGACAAAGAATGTCAAAATATTTTCATTTCTTCCGTTATCTGGAGCCCAAGACGTCTCTCCGATAGCCTTCTGTTCCTCGTTCTCAAGTCTGTCGGTAACTGAATGCACCGTATGCAAACTACTCTAAGGCAGCCGTTTGGCAGGTGAGCGCACTGACCGGAGAGTGGATGGAAACGCGACACAGGCTTGTAGCCAGTCACCGCGAGGAGAGACTGCTCTGCTTCAGCTCCCTCGTGACAGGAGAGGAGAGAGCGTGCGGTCTCTGGAGCCCCGGAGTAATTCTGAGGGCGCTGGGTTGCCATGTGGGGGAGCCAGACTGGGAACCGAAGTCTCCCCACGGCCGGTCGTTTTCCCACCATGTCACACCGCCTCGGTCCAAAGTGGCACAACGACATCCGGTCTTTATGAGAGGGGCACGGATTTGTAAGTGGTGAGCACGGGAGGAAGGCAGGAGAAGTTCGGAGGGAAGAGGGTGCGTCCGAGATGCTGGCTCCCCAGAGAGACGCAGGGGAGAGAATACCAGGAAGAGGAGCAGGCCGGGGTCGTGGAGGGCTGTGACACCGGCGGGTGAGGTCTGCACTTGACTCTACGTTCCCGGGAGCCACTGAACACTCTGAACCCGGGAGGGACATGACGGAGCACCCCACGATCGCCACGTCACCAACTCCAACGGACACTTGGCGACCACTGTCCTACTTCACACACCCCACGTCAAAGCACGTAACATAGTTGAGCTCTCCCTCCTTAAAACTCTTCTTTCTCGGTTCCTGCTGATTCCACTTTCCCTGGTGTTTCTTGGTGGCTTTTACAGGTTCCTTCCCTTCTATTCCAAATGTTGGCGTTCTTCAGGATTCGGTCCTAGGCTCCTCTCTTGTCCTTCTACGCTCGCTCCCAAGATGATCTCTCTCGCCCTGCTGAGCCCGTGCCGATGAGTTCCTGATTCTGTGCTCGGCCCTGGGATTTCCTCTGTGCTGCAGACTCGTATCAGGAACGTGGCCGCCGGCTCGTGCCGCGGGCCCCTCAATCTTCTGTCCAGAAGTGAGCGAACCCCCGATACCCACTCCTTTTCATCTCAATACGCCACCACCTGTCCGGGTGCTCGAGCCAGACTGCAGTCGCCCTCTTGGTCTGTCCCTTTCCCTCCACTCGTATCTCCTTCTAGCACAAGTCCTTCAGATTTTGCCTCCAAAATAAGCCCCCCATGACATCTACTTTCGCCTCCTCTGCCACAATCCTGGTTTGAGATGCCACAGCCTCCTGACTGTGCTCAGTCACGGGCTTGCCCAGCTTGCCCAGCTCAGTTCCGTGTCCTGCACAGCAGCCAGAGCTGCCCCCGGACGACGTCGAGTGAGTCACCTCTCCTCTCTGCCACGCACACATCTACCTCCCTGAACCCTTGGACGGCCCCCCCCCCCCCCCCGTACCTGACCGTGGCTGCCTGCCTGCCTTCGGGAGCCGTTCCTGGCCCCACCCTCCCCAGCCGGTCCTGCTCCCCCAGTGAGACTGGCCTCCCTCCAGTTCTCCCGACACACCAAGTGCTCTGCCCGCCAGCCTCCTCAGCTGCTCCGGGAACGCAGGCCACCTGGCTCTTTGCGAGAGTGGCCACTCCTCTTCCTTCACTTCTCAGTCTGAATACCGTCTCCACGGCCAGACCTCTTCAGGACAGCACCTTTGTCTTTAACACCAGCGCGGCTTTTCCCCATTTTAACTAAGTATTTATTTACCCTCCGCCTGGCTTTACCGACGAGACTCCGCTTTACGCCCCAGCCCAGTGCCTGGGCACAGGGCAGACACCCCACAAACCGACTCTTGACTAGCTGGATTAACGAGTGCGAGTGCGCATTAGAGATACGCTCCCTGGGGAGGAGGGGAAGGCCACGTGTGAGGCCTGCTTGGGAGTGAACGGCAGCTTGTTCCCAAGAACACAGTTTCCCTGCTCCTTCCCCCTCTGTCAGCAAAACAGTTCTTCATTCTGAATGAGCTGACCCTAAAGAGAGATCCACCCTCTCCCACCTCCCCCCACAGCTCTGGGCCATCTGGCGGCCACATCTGTCACCCTTCCGGGCTCAGTTCAGCCGACTGGCTAGAGGATTCTGCCGCGTGACTGACTTATTCCCCAACAGAGAGAAAAATCAGCTTTTGAATTAATTAAACCTGAGCCACAGACTCTTTTTCAGAAAACCAACCACCTCTTTAGTAACACTAATTAAACAACACGCTGGCACCCTAGCGAGACAGCGTTTTCAGGAACGGAAAGGGACCCGGGAGGTCATCTAGTTTCGCCTCTTCCCGTGTCAAAGTCGAGGAGACAGGCACAGAGAGCTGACCTGCTCCAGGCCACCCAGCTGCGTTCAAGGCAGAGCCATCAGAGAGTCCCCAAACTCCAAAGCCAGCACCCTGCAGTGCGCCTTCTCTGTCCCCAAGGCCGTACAGGGAGGAACGGTGCCATCACCCACGACGACGAGGCCCAAGGACAAGCGCTCAGACTGCCGTCCTCAGAGCCGCCCTTAGCAACACGCTCCCCGCACAAACTGTGGGATCCAACACCTGAGCGTGACCCGCTGCCTCATGCCCACTTTCGTCACCTTCGCTCACGTGCACGGTTTCAGCTACTGCTGCTGTAGCAGACACCCCGTCCGGTGACCCCACCCTGCCCTCCGCCCGCCACGCCTCAGCCCTGTGTGTCCTACACCCGCAGGGCCGCAGGCCAGTCTTTCTACACGGGGGTCACCCCTTTCTCAGAGCTCCCAGTTCCGCTCCACGGCCCAGCACCGGTCAGCAGGGCACCCACGTCTTTCGCGATCGAACTTCCGACTCTCCCGGCCTGATCGCGGCTCCTTCCCAAGTGCCCCGTGCTGCGCGCACACTGGCTCCCCCTTCACAGAGCCCAGACCCTGGGAAGTTCGCTCTTAGCTTTCCAATCACTTCTCTCCAGAGACACGCGATAATATCTGCAGATCATTTACGTAATGGGGTTCCTTCTACCGTGCCTCTGAAAAATGGTCACCAAACACAGTCCTAATTGTCATTTACCTCGGATGTTGTGCTTTCATTAGCAGCCCTCTATGATTACAACCTTCTTACTATTTAGCCAAATGGAGCCTCCCATTAAGAAAGAAGGTGGGATTCTGGGAATAAACCCCAAAGCCATATTCAAAACAAGAATGAAGGCACAGGCATGAAAATATTCACCGTAAACGATAATAGCAAACTCAGGAAAGAGAGACTACCTAAACATTCAACTGCTAATAAATCAAGGAAGAGAGTGTGTAGTTATGATAAGGAACAATTACGAGAAGTGTAAAAATATGAAAAATACACGCGAAAAAGCAAGATTAACGCACACGTGAAAGTATCAGTATGCATGCGGGTAAGGCCTGGGCAGTAACACAGACCACTGTTCCGGACTTTAAAAAAGTTCTCGTTTTGGTTCCAGAACTTTGCTGACGTGGACAGGAAATGTGCGACTCCCTGGGCAGCAGCCCCTCCGTGCAAGTCCTACGTGCTGGGCCTGCGGCCGGCCAAGTGCTCCGGCAGGAAGACGCACTGGACTCATGCAGCCAGTGGCTCCTGGCTCTGCCCCTCCCCTCCCCCGGCAGTCCTTACTGCTTCTGTAGAACAGACCCGACACCATCCCTGCGTGCCGGGTGAGGACAGAAGGACTCCTGCCGATTCCCAACACCTCAATACAGAAAAACCACTTTTCCACGGTCCTTTAGTTACCTGGGGCACGAGCTTTCTGGTTTTTTCCCAAAACTCATAATGGGGGTCACTGCTTGGAGAGCCGTCTGATTCAACTTGATGGCGACTGCCTACAAGTGCACAGGAGGACACGCTCAGTCCGGCAGGGGCACTGACCCTGCGCACCGAGCGAGGGGCGGGGATGCAGGTAAGGCCGTGCGAGTTACCTCTGGGTTGTCAGTCAGGTAGATCTGTCTGGAGATGTTGTTTATGGCGCAGATCCACTGTGGAGAGAGGGCGTTAGAAACCTGCTGGATCCCAGTCACCGGCTAGACCAGGACAAAAATGAAAGAACAAAAGCTTTACCTCTTCGTTTTCCTTTCTGCTTTCTGCCTGGAGGATTATTCCCCTGAAATAAAGTGCATTCAAGTCAGTGCTCCCCAGATCTCGGAGACTGAAGCTTACTCCACATTCACTGAAGTCAGCTGGGTCCCAAAGAGAAGGACCACAAAAGGCAGCATGACCGGAAAGAAAAACTGGGGCTCTGGCTTGCTGCTCATCCACCGTGTGATCCTGGACGGACGCTTCCTTCCCCTGGGCCTGTGCTTTCTCATCGATAAAGTGAGCAGCTGGGCTCAGGTCTACTAGCTCAAGTCTGTGGGTCCACAAGCACAGACTTCTTGTTGGCCCCTTAGGTGATCAGGGCAACCCCTCCTCCCAGCCACGCCCAGAGAAGCCAGACACTCTGCTGTCCCACCGAGGGGAATAGGACAAAAATAATACTGCCCTGCCTTTGGTGAGGGCTTAACCCTTCCCAGGGACCCCACAGCTATGGGAGGTGGGAGCATGGACCTCAGCCCTACTTTACATGTGAGAAAACCAAGGAGTTAACTGCCCGGCACCACGACTGGGATCCCAGGCCTCTCCTGCCGCCCAGGAGGAAGGGTGAGGTCTGAAGTTGCTCTGAGAACCTGGGAGGGGAGCCGGTCAGCACTGTACCAGCTTGCCAGAACACGCTACTGTCCAGACAGAATCTCAGCTCAGAACCCCACCCGGAAGCAAATGTGAACAGAGCCGGCTCCCATGGAAGGACGGCCGGCCCCACTCCTGGGGGCTCAGTTTGAAGCTCCTGCTCCAGAGGGGACCCCATTGCAGTGGGATCTGTGAATGACTCCAAGTGACCTCTTCTGGGCCCCTGAGGCACATGGGGGTCTGTGGGGACAGCACGTTCCCACAGGGAGTGCCGTGGCTGAGCACACCGCCCAGTTTGTCTCCAGTTTCAGCCGGAACAGCAGGCTCCCCAGGCAGGTCTGCCCGCCCTCCGCCCCAGCACAGTACACAGAGCTGGTCTGGGAACAGGCAGGGGTGGCCACGGCCTTCTCTACAGATCTTTGCTGACAAACGACTCTCCTATGGCTGCCTCCCACACAGAGACACGGAGGCCGGGTCTCCTCCAGGGCCGCAGACAAACCCGCACTGGGACTCCTCACACGAGGCAGACTGGATCCCACGGGGGTGCTGTGTGCTTGCTTAAAGAGAGCATAAAACAACCTCCCCAAAGACCAACGAGCCCCGGAGGGGGTCTCTCCCATGGAGGGCTGGCATGGAGGGACCCGCCAGGAGGCCCCGGGCAGGGGTGGGGTCACTACCCTTGCTCTCCTCCCAAATGAGACCCGTGTGGCGTACGATTTTCCATTGGGAGTGGTGATCTGGAAGCAGTATCGTCGGTCTTCACAATCCACTGCCATCACCGAGCAGTTGTCCAGGTCCTGGATCAGGCCACCGGCAACAGCTCCCCGGGGTTGACACATGAGGTTCCCGCCTTGCGTGAAGAAGTAAAGCCGCTCCCAGGTGGTGGTGACCAACCCTGTTTTACTGCAAGAATCGTGACTTTAGAGAGCCCGTCAGTGCTCGGAAGCCCGCGCAGAAGCCCAAGGTCTTGCTGCCTCTTTACCAGTGTTGGTGGCATTTTGGAAAAAATGCTTCTCTACATTAAAGCAAAACTGCAAATGCAGAGCAGCAGAAGAGGCAAACTGCAGCTAGAGTGACCTGGAAGTCACGGGCTCTGCCCACTCGGGGGATGCCTACCCAGGGCTCGCTCTGGCACGTGCCCACCCTACAGCAGCCAGACGCTGGCTTCTCCCCGAGACCTGGAAACGGGAGCTGTGAACCGAGACGGTCCACTAAGACACAGACCGAACTATCTAAATCTAGTGAGAGTCACCAGGGTCACCCTGGCTCACAGCACCCAGAATTCCGGGGACATTAACTAGGTTGAGTTTTGCTCCAACTGGATGTTACTCTGGTTTTGTGGGCTGCTTGCAAGAGGAATATCCAGTAACTGGCAAGTAACACCAGAATCTTGTAGGATTTTCCATCCGTATAAACTAAAGGAGATACTTAACTTGGGATCTCAACAAGCGGGGAGAGCCTTGAGGAGCTCCACCTTGGTAAGAAAACAGCCGGCAATTCCTCTCTGTAGCCCTTCTATCTGCGAGGTATCAGGTGCACTCACCTGATTCAATGTTTCTCGAGTTGCAACTATGTGCAAGGCACTAGGTTTCCTGCCTCCATGGTTGCAATTATTTTGCAAAACTGGAACTAGCTAACGTGTGAGTGCCTGTTCCTGCTAGGAACGACCTCATTCAATCCTTGCAACGACTTCATTTAGTGGGACTCATTGCCAGCTGTTTCACGGGTGACACGACTGAGACCCGGCCGCGGGGTCTGACTGAACCAAAGCCAGAGTGTTCACCACGCCGGACAGCCTCCGTCTGCTCTTGGACACAAGGAAGCCCGATCATCCTCTCTTTAACTCAAATGGCCCCAAGTGACATGGTGTGATTCAGCCTACATGGACCCGGATGACCCGGAAGGCCTACAGGCCCCGACGCCAGTCTCAGCTGTGGGCCCCGAGCACACTGCTCTCACACGTCAGCAGCCTGGGCTAAGGGCGGGGTGGGATAGGAGCTCTCAACGGTCCAGGCTGATGACGGTTAAGAGCAGGCTATCTGCACATGGCCATGGTCACCAGGGACGGGGTGACCCGCCCCTCAGAGTCCACAAACAGGCCTCTTACAAGGGGCCTTTGGGCCCTGACCTCAGAGGCTTCCTGCGTGGCAGGTGGGAGGGGCACTGTGCAGGACTCCTTCCCCACCCTCCCCTGCCCCAGCCCTCCCTTCCCCTCTGAGGGAAAACCGATTTTAGAAAAAGAGGCCAGCAACGGCATTCTCACTTTCTAAGATTCAGGTAACCAGCCTTCTGGATGAGGTTCCTGTTGATCTGTGGTGCAGCCACATCAAAGTCTGGGGCGTAAACAGACTCCTCGACAGAAAGCAGTTCTTGCTGCGACACCCGCATCTTTTCCGCTTCGGCTTCTAGTTCCACCTGAATGCTTAAGACAGAAGGCGTCAGGTCAGCGGCTCCTCATGGCCAACCAACCGAGTGCTGCCGAGCCACAGATGGCGGAGCTGATCCCGCGGCTTCCTGCCCCCACGAAGGGAGCTCAGACCCCAGACGCTGGAGATCGAGGGGACTCAAGTCCACGTTGCTAAAAATGTTTACATGACTGCTGTTTGAAAACAGAACAGGTTGGCCACTGGCCAGCACCCCAACCCAGCGAAACAATCTCTCTGCTGACAAAGTGGTGTCCGGGCTCAGACCTGTGGATGCAGATTTTAGGAGAAAAGCTTTAATGAGCCCATTCTCAGGGCTTCAGGTGCAGACCACCTGCGAAAGTGCTGGAAAGGAAGGAAACAGCAGTCATTCCTGCCCCTCTGCTCCCCCTAGTTCTGGAAGCGGCCATTGGAGGACAGAAAACAACCAGGAGGTAGGACGAGGGCACATGGACAAAGACAAAGGCAATGCTTTTCCTCTTCTAGAAGCCATACAGCTGCCCGAGAGCATGGAGCTGGGCCCAGGGCTGCCCACAGCCATACAGCTGCCCGAGACTGCGGGGCCGGGCCCAGGGCTGCCCGTGCTACACGGCACAGGGGAAGAGGGCCAAGGTCTGAGCTCTGGCTTGTGTGCACTTGTGTGCCGAGCTGTGGAAAACCTGGAAGCTTTAGCTTCGAAGAGGCAGCTGCCCTTACTTCCCACAAAGCGATGCCTCCACAGCTCCCCACCCAGCGCTGACAATCTCGGATATAAAGTGCCAAACACAAGCTGCCCAACACGGCCCAGCCCATCCACGCGAGAAAGCAAACCACAGACGCGTTGTTCCACTTTTCCACTGTGTTAAAGAAGGACCGAATTACAAATGTTAAAATCAGAAGGAACTTTGGGGGCCAGCTGGGCCACTGTTTCCCAAAGTGAGTTCCTTAGGAGTTTCTCTCAAAGGGTTAGGTTTGGGCTTGGTCCACACTCTCCTCTTGGAGACTCACAGTGCATGTTGCCTATGCCTTAATGCAGCTCAACACAGGCAGGCAGGCAGGCGATCTAAGTTAATTTTGGCTCTTCTGACATTTGAATAGAATGGCTGGACTCCACCACGGGCAGCCTGAAGACGGGCGAGCTGGAGAACAAGCCTCATTGGCTTACCTGCTTATCACTGCCAAGACGGGGCGAGTGAAATGGAGAAGAAAGTTAAGCAGCTCAGGAAGTGGAAGGAGAGAGGCAAAATATACAAAACCACTTAGGTTCTTAAGCTTTTAGGGGTGGCAAGGCTCCTTGAGGACCCAGTGGAAGGTAAGGATCGCCTCCCCCAGAAAAATACTCCTGTGTACCAGCAGGACACCTGGCACACAGCTTCAGGGAGCGGTCACTAACTGCCCCTCCCTCCGCTCTCGGACCCACACAGACTCCACTTCAGTGGCCGCGCAAAGGGCTCCCGGCACTCCAGGACAGGGTAGAAAAGTACTTTCCAACAGCCTTTCTTCCAAGACTAAAGAACAAAAAGTTTATTTAATTGACCATCTACCTACATATTGATTGATCGATCAGTAGGAACCAAGAAAAAAAGCAGAAGTGTATCCCTGCGGGGTTAGGAACTAAAAAGAAAAACACCCGGGGTGCCCGGGTGTCTCAGTCGGTTAAGCATCTGACTCTTGATTTTGGCTCAGGTCATGATCTCACAGTTCACGAGTTCGAGCCCTGAGTCAGGCTCTGTGCTGCTGACTGTGCAGAGCCTGCTTGGGATTCTCACTCTCTCTCTGGCCCTCCCCCACTCTTGTGTGCATTCTCTCTCAATAAACGAATAAACTTTAGGACAAGAAAGGCTCCCGGCCCTCCGGGCGATTCGAAAAGCCACCATGTCTAGTTTAGGCTGGGTTCAGACTCCCCGCACAGCTCACACAGCAGAGCCTGGCCGCTCGGCTCCCGGGGCAGGGAGGGCAGCATCCGGAGCCAGCGCGCTGTCCTTGGCCCCTCTGGGCCAGCAGTGCAGCCGTCGCCTCGTGGCCTGGGAGGCGTGGCCGTGTCTCTCTACTCGCCAACGGAAAAGCCAAGTGGTCAGAAAACTAGAACCTTGATCTGAGTGCTTTAGCCGTTTGAACCAGGAGGTTCAAGCGCTTCCAGCTTCGGCTGGGAATGCTGTCTGCGGCTCCTGCCCTTGTAATGAACTAGGCCTCATCGGGCAGCAGAGGGATGAGCCACAGCCCCGAAGGCCGTGGAGCCGGGGCTTTGATGCAGGTCACGTGGAAGTGCCCGAGCGGCTGAGGTGCACTCTGGACGGCCTGTGCCAGCTCACACAGATGCTGACAACGGAGGACACAGAGGCTCTGAGGTTTGCAGAGAAGTACATCACGGCGTCTCAAGCACAAACGTCCTACCATCTGTCGATAAAAAAATCTAGTGCGTGAACAAACTTTGAAGCCCAGACGGTTCTCTCAGGAACAGAAAGCCAGGGAATTCCGGGAGCTAATGGAGGCTGAGAGAGAGGCAGTCGGGAGAGGGCAGGGGTAGGGGTGGAGGGAGGGATGAAGTGACAGCAGGCACCTTCCTTTCCCCTCTCCTAACACTCCCAGCGGCTCACAATCAAATTAGGCAGGAAACGGAAATGGGATTTCAAAGCGCCTTCTAGCCTCATCACGAACGCGGCCCACACGAACGCGGCCAGGGACGAGCAGCCGGTGACTTCCAGGCAGGCGTAGACGACTTCAAACCGCAACCCTCCCGCATGCCGCACGGAGCTCAGCTCTGGCTTTTCGGCTTCATTCTCTCCTGTCAGCACTTGAGGTACACTTCTGCCTGAACGGGGTCTACTGCTTGGCCTCGAGGTGTTTGAAAAGCAACACCCTCAAGAAAATGAGCGCCCTTGCTCCACTTTTCCAAACAAGATAAATTCTGCACTCCTACTTCCATTCTGTGTATCTGCTGATCAACTACTCTCTCTCTGTGCCATCCTCCAGAAATCACATCTGCAGTGTTCATGAGACAAGGCTCCCCGGGGCTCACGGACACCGGCAGCGGGAGGTGAAGGGACTCGGAGCAGCCACGGCATCAACTAAACGTGGGCAAGACGGTCTGAAGAGAGGATGCCGTCTTCTTAAAATATAAACATTCATGAGGCCGAAATGCAATTTGTTAAATTGATTCAAAAGAGGCTTAAAGCCTCGTTTATTGATCACGAACTGACGGGACGGTTAGTTTCCAGAAGAGCCGCAGCACTGCTGGCCACATACCTCTCGGCTCCAAAGGGGAAGCAAAGCGTGCTTCCAAGACCACAGCAAGTCTACACCGGACTGACGGCTTTAACATTCGAAGGCTGGGCCAACAGACAAGAGGCCCTCAGCACGCGCACCGGGACCCAACGGGAAAAGTCTCCCCGCAGACACTTCATCTTTTATTCATATACACAGTCTGTTCATGGGTGGGCACGCCTCTGGGCTCCCCATGGTGGGAACTGCAAAACGCATTACTTTTCAACCACAACCCAAACACCGGCGGCTAAGAAGGGGGCCCGCTGCCCAGGGATCCCAGCGTGGTGGGGCTCCATGGGACCCCCCGGGAGAGGGGACCCCCCGGAGGGACGGGTTCAGCAGGAGAGGCAAAGGCCCACAAGACCCAAAGTGGACTGCAGCCTTACCTTTGAACCATGTCTGCTACGGAGGATAAAAAGCTGTCCATGCTTTGGGAAAACATCTCTGCTCCCTTCTTGAAAAAGTTAATCTGAAAGACAGAAGTGTGATGCCGTGAAAGTCCTCTAGGAAAGGAGACGGATGAGCTCACTCGGTGCAGGACTGGCAGCACCGGGGGCGGCAACACTGCCCCCCTCCACACCCCCGCGTGCCCGTGGTGCCTCATGCGCCTCCGCTGAGCTCAGCGGGCCAGCAGGGTTCCTCCCGAAGCCCCAAGTGCGCTGCAGAATGGGGGCGGTGGGACCCGGCTCTCTCGTTGAGAGACTGTCAACATCAGGGACAATGTAAGTCGCTGCTTGGCACAGACCACACGTGGGTGCGTCAGCAGTTGCTACTGACAAGCAGTCTTGATGTTCTCGCCATCGGCTGCTTTCCTCTGTGAATTCTAGACAAGAGAGTTTCTTGGGGGCAAGAGGTAGGTCTCCACCTCTGCGTCTCCAGGACCTACACTGGTGTGTGACAAATGATGTGCACAGCGCCAGCAAGAGGCCGACGAGCACTTGACGCGGCACGGCAGGAGGTTCTCCGGGAAGAGAAGCGCACCTCAGGGCCACCAGCTGACCCCGTTCACCGAGCCATGTGCAGCTTGAAACGCAAGCTGACAGATAATCCGGCTGAGACACCGAGAAGGGGAAACTGGACTGATGACCCTTAAAAGGCCCTTCCAGCCTCGGGGCGCCTGGATGGCTCAGTCGGTTAAGCACCCGGCTTCGGCTCAGGTCATGATCTCGAGGTTTGTGAGTTCAAGCCTCACATCGGGCTCTGTGCTGCCAGCTCGGAGCCTGGAGCCTGCATCAGATTCTGTGTCTTCCTCTCTCTCTGCCCCTCCCCTGTTCACACTCTGTCTCTCAAAAATAAATAAACGTTAAAAAATAAAATAAATTTTAAAAAGGCCCTTCCAGCCTTGAGGTGAACCCAAAAGATGCAGCCGAGCTCTGGCCCCGAACAGGCGCTTGATACAAGCAGGGTCCCTTCCTGCTCCCCACGTGCTGGATGGACGCTCTCTCAGCCCAGGGGAGAGTGGCCCCAGGAGACCTCAGTCTCCTTTGAAAATAAAACTACAAGTGCTGGCTTTCGGGGAACCAAAAGAAGGAATGCCTACTTCCCGTGAGTCCCAGGTATTCACTGTCCAGAAAGTCCGGGTTGCCTGTCAAACCTTGAAGGGCAGGGGTAGGGGGAAGACGGGACCGTCCAGTGCACTGCTGACATGTGTAACCATCCTGCCCCAGAGCTACAGTTTCCACTTCTTTCTATGGCCAGGGCTTTAAAAAACTCTCAATACTGGGTATGAACTCCATTTTACATGCCTGGTCAGAGAGAGGTAACAGTTGCAAAGCCACGTCATAAAAAAAAAAGACATGCAGTTTGCATGAGGGTATTTTCTCACACTTTGTCCCAGCTCATGTGTCTGATCCGGAAGCTGCCTCTGCCCTGGAAGGTGGGCAGAGAACTTGACCTCACATCCCAGTGAGGCTGGCAGGCACTGTCGGGACAGTTCTGACGTGTTTCCACGTGAGGTATGCGACCTCACGTCCTTAGTTTTCACGGTACAAAAACAGAGGATGATCGCCATTATCCTGACGCAAGGTGATAACGCAGGAAGCTGCTCTGGCCCCATGATCTTTTAATCATACAGAGATCAACACGGTAAATGCCATTCTGGATCTCGGAAACATCAGTCTGTTAAATGAGCTTTCCGCATTTCTAAGGACACAGCAGCACAGTGGCTTTCCTCTCCTTCCCCTCTCTGAACTCTTGGAATTAATTCCATGTCTTAGCTCCCCTGCTACTCTGTAAGCTCCTAGGGCAGGGACTTAGGCAGCCGCTAAAACGATCTGATTAAATGAATGAATGAAAAGGAAGGAGAAGATACTGGCGTCTACAGTCACCTTTCCTAGCACCTACCCTGTAAATACTAGAGTTCATTTGGTGTTCTCATAAACTTGGATGCAGCTTACAAAACCTCAGTTTGTTTCCAGGCATGACGACTAATCATGATTTCAGTGCAAACCTACTGAACAAGGGCCAGGGAAGACAGAAGTAAAGCCAAACCACTTGCACTGACAGGGGTGGTGCTGAGAAGCTGGGTTCAGCCCAACGTCATCCAAAGACCTGGTGTGCCTGTGTGAACGACAGGAAGTACAGCGGCCCCGTGACCGGCAGCTAACGGAGGTAGATGCTGCGTAGACATACATGGCTTTAAAGGGGCCGATGAGGCAGAAGGAATGCCTTGGAATTGCCCAAAAGATTCACGGGGTTAGACGACAACTGGTCTATGCGAGACAGCCAAGTCTGCAGCAAGATTTGAGGTCTGCGAGGGGAGGGGCTGTCTGGTCTTCTGTCCCGAAATCTGGATACTTTCCACGTGAAAAACGAAACCGTGCCATCCTCAATCCCCAAAACTGCTGCTGTGGCCACCCAGTGACGTGTGCTCTGCTCCACAGCCAGGCCCCCTCGGCCCTGCAGCAGCATTCGCTTAGTGCGGGCCGGGAGAAGCGGCGTGGTCCTCAAGGAGACACACGGGAACCCAGCCGGGAACAAGTCCACCCTTCAGGCCTTGCGAGGCCCCTCCCCTAACCAACCAGGCCCTGTAAACACTAACTGATCAGGCCCGCGGCCATTCAGCTTTCTGAGGCTCTCGGGCCAGGACCCTGTCTGACCCTGGGCCTCTAAGTCCACAGGCAAGGACCGTCAATCCAGGAAGGACGGACGTGACAGGAGGCGTTAGAGCAAAGGCAGTACCGATGTTCCCTCACAAAGCCGGGACGTCCTCTAGGGCAGAGGTGTAAAACTTGAAGGAGAGAGGAGGGCACAGGAGAACGGACGAGAACACATCGTGAGGAAGCTGGACAGCTGCAGAGGGTCTGCTGAGGGCTGGAGCCCACAGCCCACGAACGGACACGGCTGGTTTTTGGTTCAACCCAGCTTCACTCAGATGTCACAGAAAGGTTAGAGTGCTCTATTTAAGCACCACCTCCGAAGGCAGAAGCTGACTTTAGTTACCTCGCCATTCAACAACGTAACAACCACATTAAGAAGACAGATACTTGAGGGGCGCCTGGGTGGCTCAGTCGGTTGAGTGTCTGACTTGGGCTCAGGTCACGGTCTCACTTTCATGGGTTTGAGCCCCGCGTCGGACTCTGTGCTGAGAGCTCAGAGCCTGGAGCCTCCTTCAGATTCTGTGTCTCC